CTAGGTTTACATGCTGTTTCAGCTGTCAGAATACTCTTACTGCAGTTCTTTGCTATACAGACTTTTTGTAGACATTTTATTATCCGCTCACTATTCACCTATGTTGGAATTATCTGAGCGAGAGGAGTCAACACAGATCAATAACTATAGTTGTTTGTCCTCTGCTGATCTTTGACTTTTTCCTCTTGCTACCAAGAAAAAGGAGGCTCTATATTGTGTCCTCTCTTCACTCATAAATCTCACTCTTCCTCTTTCAGGTTTCTGTACAAAAACTGGATTGTTTTTTTGTTTCTGTTTTAATTTGGGAAAATGCTCCATAAGGAGGCAAAGATCAGAATGTGGGAGCTGATATGCTTGAAGCCTTGACGTACCCTAAAGCAGCAGTAAATGGTTTATACACTTAACTTCCATGGGTTTTCCTCCACTATTTTTTGAGAAACTGTAAAGTGGTAGGTTTGGGTTTTGGGGTTTTTCTTTTGCCTGCTAAAGGAAGAAATTAATTCAGCTGCTGGGATTGGACTTAGCTGCCAATGAGTGGTGTTTTTTTCTGTCATGCCCCCCACCCCCTCAGCAGAGAGAGAGGTACAACTGCTGGAGTCCTTTGCTCAGGCATGTAACCCCATTGAAGTCAATGAATCTACTTACGTAACAAATATTTTCATAAGGGCTTAAAGGATTAGGCTCCAGAATTGTGTCTTTTCACATGCATTATCCAGGTTTTAAAATGTATTATCTGCAATTCTAAATCAAAAAAACATTGATATTTATAATGTAGTATTTCATAGGCTTAAATGTATTCATAATTTAACAGTGCAAATACTAATGTACATATTGTACAGTTAAAATTTTAAAATCTGAATATTTTTATATCCCTGAATTTGAAGACATTTGTTACAATATCAAACTAGATTTGTTAGAGGTTTAACAGCAGCATTATGGATGAAATATTGCTTGTATTTTAGTCAGGGGTTTGAAGTTGAAAAATATTGAAAATGTTCAGTGCAAAACAGCTTAATTTTGTCTACTAGGTATTAAAAGGTCTGTATGCATGGTGGGGCTATGTAAATACTCTCTATGGCCCTCTTAATCTTGCAAGTGTTATTTATGGGTCAAGCAAAATGTAAACTATATAAATGTAAAAGCCACACAAGCCTGGAATATATCAGTACAACCAGTATGCAACTCCTGTGGATGTGGACTTTTTTTATTTATTATTGTTCCCCCTCCTTTCCTAAAAATAATTTCTGAAGTTTGCCTACATAAAGGAAGAGAAATGCTGGGTGAAGAAGGCAAGCTGGTGAAAAACTATGAAATAGCAGGTAATCTCCAAACTTGCCTTGAACTCAAATGTGAAGAGGAGCTATTTTAAGTTCCAACAAACTTCTTCCACTGTTTTAAATAAAGGGCAGAAATTTGTAAGAGTGACACCCAGCAACTAAGATCGTAAATACTAAAAGCCATTGGCTTTCTGACCACCTGAAGAAGGGTAATTAATGAAATAAAGGGTGTGCTTCTTACCAAATGAGCCTATCAAATCCAACTAGGTTTGCCCTTCCTGAGGATATAGAAGTTTGGAAAGAGAAGCAGCTAGAATGGACACATGAGCACTGGCTTACACCAAAGAAAATGAAGCTATTGCTAAGGCTAAATTAGACTAGCAGTTACTTGTATTTTTCAGGGTAAAATGAGCAACAGATCCTTTACTCCCAGAGGTGGTATTCACCATATAAGTCACTGTTCTAGTACAAACAAGTCTTGTGTACATGAAAGCTGAGAAAAGTAATACCACGCCGCGTTGCAGGGCCAACAGGCAGCTCATGGGATGCTTCCAGCTGGCAGGCTGCGGTGCTCAGGCAGCATGTGCTGCCCTGGCAGCCAAGTGCCTGTTGTGCTTAAGTACATTACAGTTACCAGACTGCCAGGACTCACAGGCCTTGAGGAGAGATGCTGACTCGTTAGTACTTTCCCCAGGATGCTCCAGCAATGAGTAGGACATTCCCAAGGTTCTCACCTGCATTTCAAGAAATGGAGAACCAGGATCCTCAGAAACAAAATGCTGTGCCACTGCTGCTGTGTCCTTTGTTGGACCAAGTAATTGTCTCATGGAGAAAAGTCTCCACCAGTAGTTTTTCTGATCTTACCCCATCTTCTGAGATGCAGCATCTGTCCTCTCCCAAACTGCAATGTCTTATGAACTATTAGATGACAAAAGTTCTCTATAGAGTGTTAGTTTCTTCTTAACACTTTATTTTTAAAAAGTTTAAAGATTACTATACAACTTTGTTTAATTTATTTCATCTTGACATAAACTATTTCTTAATATTTTTGACCACTTCTCCTGTTAAGTATTTATAATTGATTCTTCCACCTCAAATATAAATAGCATCTGGGACAAGACTTGAATACAGCCACTAAATACAGCTCTAAATTTTAGGCTGTGTTATTTCAAGTAGCATCTCTCTTCCAAGTGCCTACCCTGGTAGGCACCCTAAGCATAGCACAGCTGCTCACTCCCTCCCCTCCAGTGGGATGGGGTTAAAGGCCATTTAGTAGGTTAAAAAAAACAAGGAAAAAGAAAACCCAAACAAAACCCCCCAAAATGATACCCAAAAACCCCAGTTGCTCACCACTAGCCAACTGCTACCCAGCCAGTCCCTGAACAGCTGCTGCACTGGCCAACTCTGCTCCTGCCCCAGCTTTATATGCTGAGCATGACACCACAGGGTCTGGACTATACCTTTGGTCTGTTGGGGTCCCAGCTGTGTCTCCTCCCAGCTCCTTGTGCACTCCTCACTGGTGGGGTGGGGTGAGAGGCAGAAAAGGCCTTGACACTGTGTAAACTCTGCTCAGCATAACTAAAACATCTCTGCATTTTCAATCCTGTTTCCATCACAAACCCAATGCACAGCATCACTGCAGCAGCTGCTATGAAGGACATTAAGGCATCCCACCCAACCTAGTACAACCTTCATGACACTGACAAATACTAGGGCAATACTTCACCTCATCCTCCTCGAAAATCTTGCACACACAAAATAGGGTCTTACTTTACAGACAGAAAAGCACTTTAAAATATCAGATGCTTTTATTATCATAAATTTAATCAGGCATCTAACAAAGGAAACTGCTAACAAACTGTATGGTAACAATGGAGATTTAAAATCAAAAATATATGTATATGTTAAGCACAATTTCAGTATATTATTTCAGCAGCATTTCTAACCCAAAGCAGAAACCTGGATGTAACACCCTGAAGGCTATCAGTCCTGTGGACAGGTAGTGAAGGACTGTAGTTACAATTCTGCATCAGAGACTTTGCCTGTGGTTTCACCACTGATCCTAGTAAACCAGTCTGTTGCCAGGAGTGGGTCAGCTCTGACTCCTGTGTCACAACAGTTGCCTCTCTTGGCCTCTCTCCCTCCCCAGATTAGCATCTTGTAGGATCCATGAGCTGATTCCCACTCACTGTGCAGCCCACACAATGCCAGGTGCCAACAAGGGTGATTGCAGGTCACCTCCTTTGAGCAATGTAAACTCCTAGAAACCAACAAAGGCCAACTGCAAAGCCACACCCTATTGACATGAGAACTAACCAGCTCTCTCAGGAATCTGATGCAATACATATTTAATATACCCTATCGACGTCTGCATGTGTAAGATGCTGTGATACAGTACCTTGTACATGCAAAATCATTCCTGTTTCTGCTTACCATTCTGAGGAAGTGGGGAGTTGGGTCATTAGTCCTTTTTACACAAGCTTCACATGTTTCTAAATGCAAATGTATACAAAACAATCATGCTTACACTCACCTCTTCATGACTATGACTCAAATTATCCCTTTCTTAAAATGTTCATAAAATACAGTACATCAATAAATGTATTCAATTGTCAGGATTCCAACAATGAGTCCTAAACGTACTTCACTGGAAGCCTCTTGACTTTCCTTAATCACTGTTCCCAAACTAGAAATCACTCTGCCAGGTCAAAAGTGGTGGCAGACACCACCCAGAATCACCTGGGTTTGAAACAATAGTGAATTTGGGGGCTTAGGGATCAACTTCGTGTTACATCTAATCCAAAGCCATCAGGGGTTACTAAAGAGATGGTCCTGATTGCTCTCCCTGCCCTCTCTCCTTGCCACCCCAACCTGCTCCTTTTTGAAGTTGGAAATAAAGATTACACACAGCCACCTAACTGTCAAAACTGATGGCTGAAAAGTGGTGAGAAGGTGTAAGGAGGAAGAGGGACAGAGTAGGAAAAGGGACCTTTCTCTGCTCAGTGACTGCCTGCACTTCATTCTGTATGGCATCATCAAAAACACAGCAAAGGAAACATTTAATAGCAAATAATAACAAAAAAATTGAATTCGTCCTACATAATACTGCTTACTAGTAAGGAGTCACACCAAAATTTAAAAGGCATTTGCAGAACCTGCAATTAGAACAAAAATACAGCACTTTTTATATCAAGTAGTTAGAGCTGCTCTGGCAGAGACCAGAGATAACCCCTAGTGTAATTTTACAGAATGAATCTGTGTTTTAAAATTAAACCAAAATAAATAATTTAAATCACAGTTGTGACCAATTTTGCAGGTCTTCTTTCCTATGGTATATATCAAACCCTGACATATTTCTGCATAAGCTGAGGAATGAGAGCTGCTTCTCATTAATAAAAACTACAATGTTTGAAGTTACACTTAAAAGCATCAAAACGTAAGTTTACATACATCAGACCGAACATTTTTTCCAAGGTAACTGTGTAAAGGTTTCAAAAACAGTTTGTTGAAAAGCACATCCTTTTAAAGGGATCTATGTCAGCAAGTACAGGTAGGAAGCTTATGATTGCAGAGATCACAGTGAACAAGGTAACAACCATCCGAGCTACTACGACGGAGTGCAGGCCTTGGGTTAAACCTCCAGCATCTGTTTCCCCACAAAAAGCAGATTTATGTACTATGGTATACCTACAACGCAGAGGATCTGAAAGCATATTTTTGTCCTTAGTATGAGCCCTCTTTGAAGGATTCTGACAGATCTTGATTGGCAGCATCGTACTGAGCAATGAAGTGTTTGAGCTCTTCAATGCATCGCTCACCAATTTCATGCAAATTCTGCCTCAGGGCAAACTGAATGGACTTCTCTAATGATGGATCTTTATCAATCAGCATCTTCACTACCATGCCAAAGGTTTCACAGTCTTGTCTGTAGACCTAGAAACAACAAATTTTAGAAAATTATTAAATACAAGGTTTACATTAGCACAGCACATTGCTCTGGCTACTGAGTTAGCTCTGAACTAAACAACGAATATTGGATTTAACATGAGTCTCAGCTGTAAGACTTACTGGCATTTTCCTGTCTTCTGACCTGTGCTAATACAAATGTAACTACCTGGATACCAGAAACACCTGTAAAAGATAGATGAAGTTCTTCTTGCAGCAGTATTTAATAAATAATGACAGAGCAAAGAGCAAATGCTAAACCAGATTTTCATTTCATTTCAATATATTTCAAATTAAACCGTGGCATATCTAGCAATCTCAATCTTTATACAAAACATCAGTAACTTGGTTTGTAATCTTTCCTAATACTTTAAATACAAGTTGTATTTAAATAGTTTAACCATATTTTTTTTGGTTAGTTGGCTGTTTCCTGCAGAAGTCCTTGACATACATAACTAAGTATTTTGGGTGCACTGGTGATTCAAACACTATGGATTGGAGAAATCCTAGCAGTGGTTTACCTCAACCTGCCTGACCTTGTCCTGCAGGGAATGAGTTAGCAAGTCACTTATGCACCACTTCTCATTACCACTGCAACTGCTTTTCAAACAAACATCTGACTATGCTCTCAGGTGGTTTTCAAAGCAAGTCAGTGGCATTTCAAATTAATTTTTTTCCATTTTCCAGCTAAGTTTGTTGTCCTAATCACCCAGTAAAAAAAAGAAACTTGTCTTCCAACTGCCAGATGCAGCTGATTTTCACAGCTCTCTGCCCAATTTCCATTTAGAAAATACACTGGCTTTTTGAACAAAGATAAGCAAGTTTTCTATGTCCTTTTTTTTTTTTGAAAAAAAAAAAAAAAAGCCAAAATGTCGATATTCTCCAAACTATGATCATCTTTTAGTACTGTGTGCCTGTCTTAGAACCTGTTTTTCACAGAAATGTGTGACCTGTTCCTCCCACATTTATCTACATTGTAGACACACCTGTACATAAGCAATTCCCCATTACTAACAAATGAATTATAAAAAAATCATCCAAAACACACCCACCACACTATTTTATTCAAAGAACCAGTTCAAGTATATTCAGGTCAGGGGAGCAGTAAACCCCCCCAACATTCTGCACACAAACTAAAGTATTCTCAGAAACACAATGATTAGCATGACACCTTTAGGAAAGGCACCTCTCAAATGTTCGATAGCATGTTCTATAAAAACAGTTTAAAATAAGACCCACTTTTCAAACAAATAAAAGAAAACCTTTCGGAAGAAACCAATTTTCAATGGAGATTAACAAGTCAAACAAAAAGCACAGTTCAAACCAAACTGGAGCTAAACATCTGAAATGTGGAAACACTGTGCACATGGCAGTTTTTGCTGAGAGGGGTTTGTTTCCTGCTTTGTATGTTTAGTTCTTTGGTAGTAAACCATCAGCACAAAACCCACTCTCAGAGCTCATGTGCCACAGCAAGTAAAACATGGTACTTGCTAACAGAACTTCAAACAGAGTAAATTTGGGTTCTATTTTTCCCCTGTTTCCAAAGCAAAAGCTCGGGAAGAATCACCATCTCTGATTAGCCACATGACAGACAGATGGGATTTCACTTTGGATAACTCAGGCCTTTCAAGGACTTGCAGCATCCCTGCTAGCACCTTCACAGAATCACTTCTGAAATGTTTTGATCCCCAGAGCCATTATGCTTTGGAGGAAGTAGTTCAAGTTATTTTTTGTTCTGATTGCATGTCTATTTTCCTATTTCATCACCTTCAAAGAGGTCAGATCAAGGATGTGTGAATGATCTTCCACAGGTAAAGGAACCTGGTAAATCTAAGTCTTCAGAGGACCCTGACAGTAATAGAGAACACAGACACGTTGCCTTCTCTCCTGCATGGGAACGCACCCAAAACTACAACTCAAGGAGCTGCCCTACTTTTAATTGCTCTTCAAATTAATGGCCAATAGTGCTATCTGCTGTTTCTCTCACACACTACAAAACACTAACCCAGATGAAATTCTCTGATCCTTAGCATACAAGTATTAGCTCAATCTAAGCACATTTTTATTTCTAAGCTTTCACAAAAGCCTTGGAGGAGAATGGAGAGAGCTATTGTCGCTGCATCTGGAGTCAGAAAGCACTTTGTTGTCACAACAATCTGCAAACTAAACACCTTCATAGAAGAGATGAACATTAATCAATACTTTGTGACAAAACAAGTAAAAAAGAAAAAAAAAGGATTGACCTAAATTAGAGGAAGAGGGCGAAGGTGGAGCAGGAAGGCAGTTCTAACAACAGAAAACAAAGGACACAGTTTGGCTTCTTGAACAATAATTGAGCAATTTTCCCTCAACAAGCTTTCTGCCCTGGCTGCTAATTCTGACCCTCCTGGTGCAATCTGCCTCCTTCTCCAATTGTGCTGATAAACCTATTTGTATAGCAGCAACACAAATTGCATCACTGAGATGATCCCTTTTAAAATTACTTCCCCCCCAATTAATGTGATTCAGTGATTCAATTCTAAAACCAGATGCATCAGCACAACTGAAAGAACTGTGAGCTGTGGTCTTAAAGTGAAAATAACTTCATAAACCAGTTTATATCTGAAGTCAGTGCACAACTACCAACCTTCAGAGAGAAGTTATTATGCTTTACAGAAGGAAACAGAGATCATCAATTACAAGAATATCAATACAGAAGATGTTAATCCACAGCTTAATGGTACAATCAATTCTTTGAAAAAATTATGAAAGCACTCAAAGCTCTTGAAAAAAGAGGATGGTGGCATGGCATATTAAAATCCATCTTCTACACATAATAGAGGAAAGCTATTTCTGGAAAATAAGCCAAGAGTGTGATGCCTGAGGAAGAAAGAAAACTGCAGAACAGATTCCAAACAAGCAAAAAAAGCTCTCTGTTGGAGAAATATACTGGAAGAACTTGTGACCCAACAAAGTATGAAAATAACCCTCTCTTTAAAATTCCAGCTGATACTGATTTTGAGCTCAAACCATGGAAAGCTCATCTGTAAACATCTGGAATTAAGAGCTGAAAATGATTCCATGTGTGGGGAAAGAAGAAATAACGTTTTCTATTGAAAAACAAGAAAGGGAATAATACCAATGACATGATTATTCTGTCTGACATATAAGTTGGGTAATCCTGCAAACAGCTTGAGCCATTGGGTGATCACTTACCAAGGCCTCAGCATACACTTGCCCTCTGACCTAAGCTACAGAACCAGCATAATAGAAAGAACATGCAACACTTTAGTAAGCAGATGAAGGCAAAGCAGAAGCAGCTGTTCTATTCCCAAATATATATTTATTTTATACACACACATATCTACGGTCTTGATTTTGCTGTGAATGAGAAGTATATAAGCTGAATTCAAGTTCTCTTTGAAGAGTTTCCCAAAATCAGCATATTTGGCATTTGCAAGGCCAGAGGATCACAAATATGCATACTTTCATGTTATTTCATGGAATTTTAGCTCTCTCTCTTGTTGCATGATAATGGCATAGAAGTTCTGGCTGAGATCATCCCTTTGCTTGCACTTGCAAATGCAGCTCTAAAGGCATGATGCACCTGCAACACATTAGTGGACAGTCCTCATTTATTTGAGAAAACTAAATCAAAACTTGCACTGAGAACTGTTTAAATATTGCTAAAAGATATTTACTTCCAGATCTAGTTAAGAGAAATGGAGATGTTAGAGGTGAACGAGTCCTAGAACTCACCAGGCAGAATGAAACTTTTGAGAACTCCCTGATCTGCATATATGTGAAGTTTTCACAGTTAACCTCAAAGTACCACTAATAGTGTCTTAAATTATAGTGTATGACATTGACATGAAAGAAATGACATACCACACACTCTCTTCATCCAGCTGAGCTCTGCAATGTTAGTATCTAAAGTGGAAGAAAGAGGGGTAGAAGCAAGCAACATGGGAACTGCTCATGTCTTTGACTGCTATATCCCTCCTTCAGTGATAATCCAGAAATGGTTTTGGCTTAAACCGAAGAAAAACACGTTGAATGGCTTTGCTAATGGGTGAAATCATACCTAGCTAGAGAATACCTTGATGACATGCCTATTACTCACTGACAAAGTCCACATCATTTTCTTTCTCAGCCTAGCACAGCTCCACGATTTTCTCCCAAACTGTTCCAGAGCTGCACATACATTTTGTGCAACAGAGCTGCAACATAAATAGTAGTGAAAATGAAAACTAGAACTTAAGATGCTCTTCCCTGCAAATGACTACAAGCTGCAGAAGAGTCACAAGAGTAATCTTGATCTCAACGTCTTCGTACCCTGCCAAAAACCAGCTTCATTTCGACAGCAACAGTAGACACAGTATTCAATGAGGATGAAGTCAACACAAGCACTGAGTTTCACCAGCTTAGTTCTACAGTCTGCAAAGAAAGGCTTTTCAGCTTCTCAAGATGACTCAGAACAGCTAAAACCACAGCATCAGTTCTAAACAGCCTTTGAAGAAAAATGAAACAAGAGAGAAGTTCCCTGATACTTGGAATGACCCTCAGGAAGACTGGTCCCACCAGGATACAAAAGTTAGCCTCTGTATCTCCCATGTCCACTATTCATAGAAAGTAGAACTGAGCAGCAAATGGGAGATGCAAATTTCTCTTGTCTCAAAAGGAACTCAACTGAATCTTCACTTCTCATTTCTGGCAGAATTGTTCTAATGGATGTGCTTTATTTTATATACAGGTATTACAACATTAACTTTCTTCTCTAGCTATGGTTTTGAATGACCATGATGCTTTGAGTGCTCTTGGCTCTATGCACGTGTAAAAGCCTCTTGAAGAGGAATCAAACAGGTTTAAGAAAATGAAGTGCAAGGCCCTACATCTGGGCCATGGCAATCCCAGGCAGGTTGGTGGGGAAGTCACTGAAACCTGCAGTGAGGAGAAACACCTGGAAGTGACAGTGGATGAGAAGCTCACCATGAGCTGCAGTGTGAGCT